GAAAGGAGTTCCGGAGCGCTGTAACGCGGTCCGGAGGGACAGAGGTTAGTTAAAACATAAACCGTACGAAGTACGACCCAAACTCATTATGCGAAGTGATGAGCTGGGGATAGGGGGAAGCTGAGGACGAAGTGAGTGGGGTATGGTCACCTCTGGAAGCAATCAGTGCGTGAGCCTCTCTTTGTCACACGAGTTCTAGTGGTCCTGCCATATGCTGTTAAGAATATTGAATATTTGATTATAGACCCAGAATGGAGTGATGCTGTAGTATGAAGGGTTACCCTTTTCAGTGGCAGCCTTCTTTGGCAGAAGGTCTGCCTTATCGTTGTCCTTCATGCTGCTATGACCCCTAACACAGCGAAATTTAAGGAGAGTATTGGGCCCAATGCTTAAGATGGTTTTAAACGAGTCCCTGATGATAGTGAGATGGGTATTTTTGTCTTTAAGTTGTAAGAAAGCCACCTATTCTCAGAAATAAAGAAATAATATTGAAGCCACTCGAAATGTTCGTGAGTCCCTGCTCATCAATGAGCTGAATGGCCTTAAGGATCGCCAGTGATTTCGCCTGGTTAACATTGCATGGAAAGCCAAAGGGAATTTCTTTTGATAGAAGAAGCGCCTTCCCTCATCCACCGCCACTACAGCACACCTGGTCTCTGACTGCTTCCTAGAACCGTCAGTTTATATATTAAAGCCACAAGGGGTGCTATCACCTTCCAGATAGAAATTCACACTAGGAAGGTCTTCCGGGTAAACTGGATAATGGACGGGGACCTAATCAACCTTCAACTGAAAAATCTTTTTTTAAAGATCGAAAATAGGAGCAAATGACTCAGCTGGAAGGACTTGCAAGCAGTGTAACATTGCCGACTCGTAAGAAAATGAAATTGCAAGTACTATTTTTTAACAAACAAACAGCGATGGGAATTACCAAAAAGCCCTTCTTAACGTGCCTTCTCGTGGCATACCTAATAAAATGCAGTAGAAACGCAAGAATTCACATTTAAATTAGTATAATAGTAGCCTTTTTCTTCGGGTTTCTCCCTCGGGTAGGGAATTTCAAAATATCCTTTAGTGAACGTTCTTATGATGTACACTACCCTACCTGTGTACCAAATTTCAACTTTCAGCTCCTAATCGTTTGGGCTCTGCGCTTATTATTATTATCAACCCATCTCGATTATATTATAAAATGTGTTTTATCTAATAATATTATTCACTATATTTATATATAAACCTGACATAGTACTATAATATTTTTTTCTTTTTCTCATTGTTATGTCATTTGGGCACTATGGTCAAGCTAAAAAAAATCGATCGGTTGATGGCGATGAAGTCTGACATATCTGTGTTAGACCACACCCCATAAAATTTCTGGTGTTACTTTCCCAAATTTAATCCCAGATAATCCAGAGATGACGTCAGAATCGTGATAATGATAGAACTAGGTTGATTTATTGTAGTTTTTTGGATTATGGTGATAAATGTAAGATTATAAGAACAGCATTTAAATTAAAGGGGACTAGGGTATTTATAATGTATCACCTTTCCTCTGTAACTAGAGATATAAGGAAAATAATAACTTTGCTAGAGAAAAAAAGAGGATGGGAGCTTCAATTTTTTATTTAAATAATAGAAATGCGGTAAAAGCTGATGATAAAATTTATAAATATAATACAGTAGAGCCTCGATTATCCGACTCAATTGGGGACTGTGGTTGGTCGGATAACCGAAAAGTATGAAAAAATCCATTATTAGTGTAGTATATTATTATATCCCATGTAATTAGTATAATAGTATATTAGTATATCGCTATTAACCTACTTCGCGTTGAATTTTCATCGATGTTAAGCATAAAGCTTAGTTCACACTAAACGCGATTCGCTAGCGAAAGCGAAAAACAGAGCGAATAACACGTCAGACATGACGTCGTTTCCGGCGAATTTTACCATTTCGCGAATCGCTTCGAAATTCGGAACTGTCGAGCTTTTTCGCTAGCGAAAAAATTTCGCACCAATCGTATTCCCGCTAGTTGTCACGTGGTTCTCGTTGTTTTCAAGATGGCTACAGAAACTTTCTCACGCAATAGATTACATGTTGTAATTACGGATTTCAATATTTATCTCACCCAGCATCGTTTTCTTTTTGACTTATTTTTCTTTCTCAATAAATAAACAAATGTGGTTAACGACGGAATATCGGAAGCGGCCATTTTGTTTTTCGAGATGACGTTTTCACTTGCTTGCAAATGATTGACTGTTTTAAATTTGCAATCGCTTTTCGTTTTTAGTTGTAGGGTCAATTTCGCTATGCGAATAAAAATCGCTTTTCGCTTTTCACATTCGCTTTCGCTATTCGCTCAGTGTGAACTAATCTTAACAAAAATTTTTTAAAATAACAATCGTCGGTATTGTATCGTTAAAAATTATAAAATTAAGCTTCGTTTAAATACTGGCTTCCTTTCATGGTCGATCCAGTGTTGCCAGCTGAAACACGTAAAAATAATATTAAAGTAGCCAAGACATAGCCAAATATTGTAGCGCTACATCACTAGCGGACATTTGAAATTTACCGACTAGGATGGTTGGTTAACCGAGGTCTGTTAATCAGGGGTCGGATAATAGAGGCTCTACTGTATATAGTTTTTAAGAAAATGTAAGAGCAAATTTCAACTTGACCGGGAGTAGGTACCGTACGTCGGTACTTTCGTGGAATTGTGAAGGTATTGTAAATAAACCTAATCCTTTCTGGAATTTTTTGCGTACTTTTGATATAATTTTCTTAATGGAAATGTGGTGGGATGGTAGAACTACTATATTGGATTGTTGTAGATTTAACAATAAGACATTTAGTAATTTCTTTTTATCTATATAAGACCTGCTCTATGGAATACTATTTGGATAGAGGTAGTTAGGTTGGTTAGCTATTATAAGTTGGATTTTTTAATCGGTGATTTTAACACGCTCATTGGTGGAGCTACAGGAATGGATTTATGATTGTAATGAGGATCTTGATCAGGATTGGATGTCGAGGCTATCACAAGATACATTGATAAATAATCGTGGAAGATTTGTGTTGGATTTTTGAGAAGATGCGGGATATATAATTTTAAATGGTAGAGGATCATCTGTGTCCAAAGGTTATTACACTTATGTAGGTGAAATAGTATGTTCTGTCATTGATTTAGCCTTGGGTAAGTTGACTCTGTTATCCTTGTAATCTATTGTAACANTCGAGGCTATCACAAGATACATTGATAAATAATCGTGGAAGATTTGTGTTGGATTTTTGAGAAGATGCGGGATATATAATTTTAAATGGTAGAGGATCATCTGTGTCCAAAGGTTATTACACTTATGTAGGTGAAATAGTATGTTCTGTCATTGATTTAGCCTTGGGTAAGTTGACTCTGTTATCCTTGTAATCTATTGTAACAAGTTTTTCTGTAATAGATAAAGTACATAGTAATCATTTTCGAATTAGTGTAGTTTTAGATTACAAATTTAAAAAGAAAATACGAGAATCGTTTAAAAGGTCTATTGGTGGTAGTAGAGAATATTTTGGAGGGAAGAAAGTAGTGAGATGATAAATCATAAATACAGTGAACTATTGTGTGCGATTCATAGTCAGTCAGTATTAACGTTTGAGGTCTTGCATTATTTAATTAAATCCTCAGATTGGCCGAAGGCCTGTTGGAACTTCCAATTTTCCGTGGTTTGATACAGATTGTAGGTTGAGTATTGTTAAAAGAAATCGGGGGTTGAACAAGATGAGACTAGCGAAAATTGGAAATAGTGTAGCTGTGACAGATAGATGGTAATTCTTTAATGAAGCCATGGCCTGCTATTGTTAAAGGATTACTATATAACATTGGATTGTCCTCTAGATATATGTATTTAAGTGAAAATTTTTTCTTTTGGGATTGCGATCAACGACTAAGAGACTTATATTGGCTAAAAGATGTTCATTATTTGAGTGAAAGAGGTTGGAACAGTAAAAGTTTTTTTAATGGAATGTTGAGTCAAGCGCCTTATTTAATGTCTAATTTTTGTTATAAAGTAGTCGTTTGCTGCACAGTTAATAATAATGTATTTTTTACTGGAATTGATACTGACGATTGTAACGTTGTTTTATTTTTCCTGTTATAATATACCCGTACATACCGAGTTTCCCTGGTACTATTAAATTAATAAATAAAACTAAGTGTTAAAAGCGTAAAGTAAAACTGAAATTATAAATATAGTAAAATGACTAAATATTGATAAAATAATAGCCAAATGGTGTACCTGTAAAACGAAAAAATAAAACTTGTTAACATATATATTTAAAAAAATGACAAATAAAAGGAGAAAACATAAAAGCAAAAAAAAAAAAAGAAAAAACTGGCTAAAAGCGAGGTGTAACGTGCTTCATTGAACACTGGTTTATAACATTTTTCCAGTTTCATCCACGTAATAACGATCTGGTTGACAAGTACAAGTGCAGATATAAAACAAACTATTATTAAACATTACATCCGTCTTTCTATAAATGGATTATCTGATGTTTAAGAAAGTTTTTTTTTTTTTATTTTTGTTCAATGTGGGAGCAAGAATAATAATGAATGATATCGTTTGTTTTCCAGCGTGATTATCAATAATTGTGTTGGGATAGTTGTTTTCTGTAATGTGAGGTGTGTGTGTTAATTTTCCAAGTTTTGGTCTGTTGTATCACTTGTACGTAATTTAATTTTGTTTGTGTACACATGAAATATATTTTTTTCTATAAACACGGTCGTATTGGAATAGTATTGGTGACCTTTTCGAAGTCACACAGCTTAATATACCTTTTGAAAGTGATAAAATTATGAAATCTTTGTGTCTAAAACGTTCAACAAAACATTATTTTCATTCTCTATTTCAAAGCATACATTTTTTTGAATATTATTGGCTTAGTGAAGTATAGCTTAATCGATTAATTTCATATTGTAAACAAGTTTTCAATAAGTTTCGTGCTAAGCTTTAAACGCGTTGACTAATAATAGTAATAAGGATGCTAATCATACAGTAAAATAATAGAATAAATTTGTTACACATTAATAAACAAAAACTAACTTGTGTACTTGCATTGCTTAGCGCCAGTGCCTAGTATCTTATCTAATTTGCTATCGCAGTTACAAGCAGAACTTCAGAAGATTTAGCGGGTCTTATTATTTGGACAAGGAGCTGTTTGTGTTTAGAGGTAAACGTTCACCAAGTTTTGTTTGAGTCGGAAACCTTAACGTCTGGCTCTGTCGTTGTAAGTTAATAAATTATTCTTTTCTTTACAGAGAATTTCCAAAATGGCAGAAACCGCACTTGAAAAAACAACGGAAACAGGTGCAATATCGCCACGTGGCTGCACTTTAATTGGAGGATTGCCAGAAATAATGATTCATATATTTCAATACTTGAAAGATGAGGAATTAGATTTATGCAGCCGAGTGTGTATCCTGTGGAGAGATATCATCGTAAATATAATGTATCACCAAGTAACAATAATCACAAGGGTAATTATTATAACATTATTTTGTTGATTAAATGCTATGATTATATAATTGCTACAAACGCTCAAAATCGATTAACACAAATAATTTCTAAGTTACGGAATTCAGTTTAGAAAATATTAATTACTGAAATGGCTTTTTGATTGTTAGTTCGCTATGATTTGTGCATGAAATTGAGTTTTTTCTTTTTGAATCTAAGCATTTGTAGATTTCTCAGTTATGGATGGTTTCAGTGCTGTGTCTTTCCTCAGAATTCGTTTCTCTACGCGAGTGTTTTTGCATTTGTCTATATTAAACTTTAATTTCATCAATAGAGTAACTGTGTGTGAGTTCTAATAGGCTATTTAGATTGTCTTTGTGAGGATGTTGGGTTTTATGTATTCTACGCACATGACGTACAAAATACGTATATTGTATTGCTTCGTGGTGTTTCTAAAATAGGTTTGCTGTAAATTCATAGTATGTGTTATTAATTTATTGCACAATGAGTTTAAGAGCACAAAATCAGAATGAATTTAAAGAATCTCTCTGAAAAATACCTGGTCTGGAATTGTTTAACGTACGTAATAAAAAATGTGAGATGTAGTGTCGTTGTCCACTTTTGCATTGTTTTTTTCAGATGTGTAATAACTGTTTGAACATTTTGTATTTGTGTAATGTATGTAAGAACCGTAAATGCAGGATACTGTCGAATACTTTCCAGTAATCTATGCTTAAGATTTCTATTGTTTGTATTGTACAATTGTCATAGAATGACTGAATGTACGAGAACAGGTAATTGTTCTTTGGCGTCCATATCTCAATGACTTCTACGACAGCCTTTTTTGTTGTTTANGAAAATATACCGCACGGTCCTGAAAAGTACGTAATTAAAGGAAGTTGCTTTCGTGCACAATAACTTTTAATTGTGTAGTATTTGTAATTTTAATTGGAAAAATACTGTTTATTTATTTGCAATAATACTGGATAAGATTTTAAATACCTGGTTATAAACTAATGTATATGTTATATTATGGAACAGGTGATCAGTATCGGGTGATCAGTATCGGGTGATCAGTATCGGGCGGTTTTATTGCCAGGTTATTATGAATAACGACAAAAAAAAATCGGGCGTTGTGATAAATGTCACGTTCTTTTTTTATAATTTATCATATTGATGGGTCGTTATGAATACTGCTATCATCCGGTTGGTCAAAGTGACGATAATGATACCTTGAGCAGCGATCATCCGACAAACTATACAGCATACCGCTTTGCGTACCATATACGATACCAAAAATGGCATTCGAGAAGTGTCCTTTAAGCTGATATTTATGATAAAAATATAAAATTTTGCTAAAAATAAATTTATCATTCTAACTACGCCATTTTGAAATAATGCGGTTTAAATAAAAAACTTTTAAATTTAACTTTTTCATAAAACTGTGTTGTTGTTATAAAAAATCTACTCTTTTTGTTGAAAGTAGGTTTTAAAGTGAAATGTTTATAAATCAAGGCATCATTTATGTATTTTAAGTACAGTACAGTACTGTTTGTGTGAGTAATAAAATCAACATACCGTTTTATATAATAATGTATGTTGATTTTATGTGTTCTACTCTACCTTGTGTTTACTATATTTACTGTACACATAATGTTAGAATAAAAATCTTCGTGTTTCTTTTGTAAATTGCTTAGTTTTTACGTTCTATTGAAGCTGTAGATCCTGTCGAGCATTTTTCTAAAGGATGCAGATACTGTAATTGCCCAACGATAATGTATCTTTATTCATAATTACCAGGCATTATAAATTCTGACCATTTTTCAGTTTGTCTGTAACATATACGTTATATTCAGCGGCGTGCCGTCCTTGGAAGCGGTAAAATAGCCGCTTTCTTTGTATTTTCTAAAATATAAATACACATTGCGCGATAATTTTCATATTTTAACGTACAGTACTTTGATTTAATTAAAAGTAATATTTTATTATAACCATATTGTGTGTCTTATTACAAATTTCTATACTACATGTGAAATAATAATAAGATTGCCATTGTATATTCGAATATCAGTGGTGCTGTATTGTCGAATACCTGACAGCTTCCACGGCGAAAATATCTGAATAGTGTAAAGCAGCCAGATTATACGCATTTAAGAGCACCAACCTCACTGGTGGATGCTACACACCAAAACATCGTATAACGCTTCCAATGATTCTATGCAGGACCAGTTCCGGGCTGATAGCCGCCTGCCCGCTAGATATTTGGCCGCCCTCGCCCCATTATGTGAATCGCGAGTAGATTTATAACTTAACNATTCTACGCAAATGAAAAACAAAATACATATATTGTATTGCTTCGTAGTGTTTCTAAAATAGGTTTGCTGTAAATTCATAGTATGTGTTTTTTAATTTATTGCATAATGAGTTTAAGAGCACAAAATCAGAATGAATTTAAATAATCTCTCTGAAAAATACCTGGTCTGGAATTGTTTGACGTACGTAATAAAAAATGTGAGATGTAGTGTCGTTGTCCACTTTTGCATTGTTTTTTTCAGATTGTAATAACTGTTTGAACATTTTGTATTTGTGTAATGTATGTAAGAACCGTAAATGCATGAGTGTCAAATGCTTTCCAGTAATCTATGCTTAAGATTTCTATTGTTTGTATTGTACAATTGTCATAGAATGACTGAATGTACGAGTACAGGTAATTGTTCTTTGGCGTCCATATCTCAATGACTTCTACGACAGCCTTTTTTGTTGTTTAATGTTGTTGTAATTTTCATTTTGAAAATGTCCTTCATTTATAGAAACGTCGGTAATTGATCTATTCTTTTCAATTTCCTATTCGTTAGTATCTTAACTTTAAACGCTGTCTTTTGAACAGGGAAGCTTTACACTTAAAACTTTCATTGAAATCCTGTCAGTTAAACAGATTTAGTGTGTATTTATTTGTAGAAAAGTTATTTCAAAACCTACAACGAACTGCAGAATTTTTCTAGACATTAACTTGTAACTTTGTATAAATGTATTCATTTTAAATTATTGAATTGCAGTAAAATAAGTTTTCATTAATTGTATTATCTAAATAAATTTTGCATTTGCTGTAAATATTCTGATTTATTTAAACAGAGAATTCCTCTTAGTGTAATATACTCCGCAATCGACGAATCGGAAAATCTACGTCCGTACGTTGGGTTCGACGATCATTTTCAATACAATTGGTTCGTTGTAGATTTAGGAGATGAACCTGAACCTACGATTGAGTCTACATATGATCTTATTAGATTCGGAGAAACTACACTTCCTTTCATTCCAGGTCATGAATATTCGGACATTATTGATAAATTGTATCGTAAGTAGCTGTACTGTGTGAGTTTGTTATTATTAATTAATTGTTAATAACAATCACATTTTTAATTCCAGGAAATGATGGCACACGCCTTTTTCCTGATCACTATAAGTTGGCATTAACAGCAGAAATACAAATATCAATGTTTCCAAACATTCCAGGTTTCAATATTATTAATTATTCGTTGAAACATTTTGGAATCCGATGTTTATTTCATGAGTTAACAGATTTGAAAGAGAAAATGAAGAATGTATACCACAAATTGAACATCCCAGACGAACAAAAGAAATGTGTCATCATCTGCAAAGATTTTGCCTTAAGGGAAATCACATACAAAGTTATGAATTATTCAATCTACAGTAATGGATACAGGCTCACAATATTTCATGGAGAGAAAGTGGATGCTTTTGCTTTTTACTTTTTAAATGCATTTAAAACTGGTTATAGGAGAATTAAAAAGCAATTGGAAATGCTGAAATATTCTGAATTCCAAAGGATAGAGAAGAGATGTTTCCTGTATATTTTCCATCGAAGGTATTTAGAGTGGACCCATACACCAGCTCGAGCATTTTTGGAAGTGTTTCCTCAAATGAACTACGTTGCTTTTAAGTGTTTACCTTTATATATATCAGTCCCAGGAGATGAAGACTATTTTCATGGAGAGTACGATTATAAGGTCGACTCTATTATAATGGTTTTTGTATGGTAAGAATAAATGTATTTTATTAAACTAGTTTTGTTAAAATTGGGCATTTAACTGTCTTTGATTGAGAGTATTGTTCTACACAGGAGTTTTAATCTTATCTCCACCAGGGCACACTAAATGTTTTAGTACTTTTCAATGGGCGGTTATAATCCAGTTTTCTTAAAAATGAATAAATAACTACGAACGTGTCTTGAACCACAAAATGTTTTAAAGTGCAGAGTATGAAATTACGGTGTTTTATTGTAATACTAATTTTCTAATAGCGATTAATATAATTCAATTAATTTTAGTTCATTAATGTAAAATATCTCAATTTTCTGAGACTTTCTTCGAATAATTAGCTTAATAATTGGCAGAATCGTAATTATTCCTGCAATCGCCTCCTAATTTTCATTGAAATCAGTGTACGTGACGTCACTAAACAGACTATCAAAAGGACAGGTATTTATATATTGGTGTTTCGTCTTAACCAATGGTTTTTTTTTCTTTTGTAACTTATTTACAGTGACTCACAATAGATAAGCACTTATGATTCATAACGTGACTTCCGGTTTCGGTGAAATCGGAAGTTCTTATATAGTTAATAGTCGTTGACCATTCTCTCTTTCGGGAGGAAGTCAACGTCTACTTTTGGTCGAATTACTTCGACCTCCTCCTGCAACAGTCACCTTTCTATCGGATAAGCGGTATGCTGGCATTCGAATAGGAAAATTGTATAATACAAGGTTACAGACGAGCATAAAATATGTTTTAAGTGGTTTTTAAGTTAAAATATATGTCTCGTTTTTCGCGAAATCTAATTGATAGATGTGTTATTTTTATCGTGGTTATGTGTCATGTTTCTTTTCACCTAAAATATTATTGGCTGAACGCGAAGCAATTCTAACTTATCCTGATTATCATCAACACGAGGAAAGTTTATTCTGATTACTTCTTTTAATTAGCGTCTAAATAGGCACCAGCTTAATATAGAAAATCCTCCAGGAATCCACTCCCATCTGCAGATCGCCCACGTGTCGCGTTCTGTAAAGAAATAAACCAAAACTGAAGTCAATTCGGGTGACATAAAATCGAGTGTGTCGTCGTAAAAAGTTTTTCTTGCAGTCAGACACAAACCCACAATCAGTGTTCAATTGACTTTATTCTTTCCCGAGCAATTGGTGAGTGTGATGAGATCGATGAATGAAAGCTTAATCTTTCGAAACAATTAAATGTAAACACGAACATTTCTAAATTAAAATATGAATTTTATATTAATTTAGAAAGGAATTGATAAATTATATTTAATTTTGTAAAGGAGTCAATCAAAATGAGCAAAAATTAAATTACGAAACTATTCAGACAATGTCAACAAAGAATTTCAATTCTTATTCAACAATTTCCTTTGTCGTTGTTAACAACATTCAACAGAATTTCGTTAATAATCGTCGTTAACCATAGTCTAGTCTATACAAAATGGCAGGCCGAAGGAATAATAAAAGAAAGAAAGTGTCGACAGATCCTGCAAATAAAAAAAGAGCAAAGACAAAGGAGCAGAATGAAGTAAACGAACAATCACATGATGATGAAATTGCAGTACAACGTACAATTGAAGAAATGGCAGGAAGCAAAGAAATTGAGAATAAATTGGTCTTTGTATTCCTTCGAAACGACGCAAATTCTGCAGTTGAAGCGGAATCCACTTCAAAAAAGAAAATCACTGCAGATAAATATAGCAACAGGCCTATAGTGGACTATTTTGTAGGAAAGTCAAAGAGGGTCGGAACTTCGAAATCAAACGAAGTAGATACAAACTCTGAATACACCTGCATTAACAAATTATCGGCCAAAGTTCACAAAAAGAGTTTGCAGCGTTTTTCTAAACGTGGTGAAACAAAACACGAGAATTAAGATGTTATTTTTGGAATTCTTAGTCTAAAATTTCACGAAAGACCTGAGGAATCATTCATTTTACAAGCAGATTTATAAAATTGCTATAAATAAAACGATTTTTTCTCTGATGCGAGATTTAATTACTGTTTACTAATAACTAAATTTAATTTGAATAATTTAAATATGCTTTTTGTTAATCTATGAAAAAAAATTATTGAAGCGCAGTGTACAAGTTTCCTTGGCAGTGACTCAAATTGACACATCGCCGAAACATATTTTGAGAAGTAATTTCTCGATTGTTTTCAACGGAATATTGCACTTGAATAGAATTGATAAAATGGCGTGTCGTGGCACAGAAAACTTCAGAATTCGACCTAGAACGGGAGATACCGAGAATCAAAAGTCGTCCCCATGTTATGTCAATGGAAAAATTTTGCATCGTAAAAGTGTAAACAAACGACGCGCATTACCCGAAATTCGAAATGAGGTTAATTTCTCTACAATTCTTATTCTGAACGCCGATCATCTTTTTCTAATTTTTCTCGAAAAATTCACGATTTATAAGGTAGGGCGGGTAAAACAGCATGCTTTTGTACACCTAATGTACGACTAGTGATGATAAAAAAGTACAGGAAATTAAAGTGTAGTTCGTACTTATTTTTAAAAAATGAATATAACTGCTAATATTTTCTAACCAGGTGGGCAAAATGAGAATTTTTTCGTCCTCGGCATGTAAGACGGTTTAATAGCCGTAACAGAAGATGCAACAATTGAATTTAGATTCATTAAGTCGATTTTCCACGTTAATCGTTCGGTGACGAGTTGTGTTGAGATATGAATTTGGAGATTTTTATAAGATTAGATAATAACGAAAAACAGCCGTAAGTAAAGATTTTAGAGTTACCAGAATCTAACCTCAGATGATTGATTTATGAAAAAGTAAAATTAGTAAGCAATAATAATTCTATAAATTGGCCTTTGTTAGTTAAGCGCTTATTGTCCGATTTGGGATTTTTATCTGCTCAGTTTTCTGATAAAACACTTTCGTTGGTTGAACTTCACTTTTTGAAAAGTAAATATTTCACTAAAAATATTGGGCTTTATACTGAGCAGAAATACGGTTTCTTGGAAATCTCTCTTCTCCATAGACACCTCGTTGTTATCATCAAATTAGAACATAATACAGTATAGCTTTTTTTTCTTTAATGGCAGCAAAATTAACATCACATCTTGCTTTATTCTTTTTTGATTGTTTAATTCATTCATTCGAAAGATTTTTATTTGGTATTACTAATGTGAGATCCAAATAGCCCCTGGGTCTAAATTAATAATTTAAAAATAATATCAAATCGTTGTCATAAAATATTCTTTCGTTTGGTGAGAAAAATAATTTTTTTCTCACCAAACGAAATCAAGAGAAAAATAATGTTTTCTAGCTTGGGAAAACAGCTAAGAGAGTCACTACCTTTCAGGGAAGTTCGAACATCTTCTGTTTTTCCCTTATCTGTGAAAATATCTCGCTTCGATGGGAACTGTTTACCCCTCATTTCTACCCCTTCCCATCCGTCACGTGGGAAAATCTGAATACGATGATTGGTCGTAAAAGAGAAGATATCGGCGAAGTTTAGCGGAATTCGGGGAGTTCGTCAGAAAATCTCATAGAGGAGAGACATCTCCATATTTGCTCCACACCGCCCTTAGGAATTCGTCAACAGACCCCGAGCATTAAGACGAAGTACATACAAGCTCCTAAAAGCCAATGCCCTATGCTATGAGCAATACAGAATACAAAGGTTTATTACCATAGAGAGAAATATACATCAAATACAGAAGAAGAAAGGAAAGACAACGATCAGGTCGTATGTTTATAAATGATTTTGAGATCTCTCTCTCTCGACTTTGTATAGGCTAAGAATAATCGTTCTCTAGTTAGGGGAGTATATTTAACCATTCGTTTATGTATTAAGTTTTATTTGTATTTTTACTTATCTTATACTTTATTAAATCGTTATTGAGTTTAGACATGTCTCGTGTTGACTCTCTGAACCGAATCCGTAGATCACTTCACGCGTGTTAATCCGCGTTTAAATAAATAAGATTAACTGGTGTCGGGACCCTGACATAAGGAAGAAGGTGAATTTGCCATCACCAACTTCCGCTCTGAATTCTAATTTAATTATATGACCCTCCACCACTCGACTTCCTATTAAATAGGAAAGCCAATTCTTGTAGACGACCGAGAACTATTCTCACGGAATAGAGCCGATTAAGTGATACTAACTTCCTAGCGGATTAGTACTCCCGGCTGATCTCATACTAATGTGTTGAGATTTAAACCATTTACAAATTTAAATAAATCCTGAAAATTAGATTTGCATATTGTTTCCACAAGTACAATGTGTATGAAAACACCATTCGCTATATTTACACGATTACGCAGTGCGCACACGAGATGACTTCACTTCGATATAACACAATTGAACCTGGTTTAATTTAAAAAGTTAATATACTAGAAAATAATACAAGAAATAGAAAATTTAGCTGCGTTAAGCTTACGAAGATTAGAATGAAGAAATCAACAGTTTTGTCATTGTGTTTTATTTGACGTGAAGAGGTTAAAAAGTTGGAAGTATATTAATTGTATTTTCGATTATCTGATTGGAGACAGACAGTGCGTATAAGAAAATATCTTTCTTTAAAGTGTAGGAAGAATAGAGAAAAATGGATAAAAATCTTGTACGTTTTGCGGATTTACTGCACATTCAACGGATTCTTTTGTCAACTGATTTTAGTATTAGTTATTTATATGATTAAATAACATTATAGAACTTAAATTAACTTTAATGAATGACTAAATAATTTACAAATACAGGTAACCCCCTTATAACCCGGTAGTTACGTTCCAAAAAATTGCCGTGTTATGCGAAACAAAGAACTAGTACGAAAAAAAGGGTTAGGTTCCAAAAATTAAAAAACATGCTACTATATTTTCATAATTAAGTTAAATATCTTTATTAAAATTTTCTTAAGTGATACATATTAATATAAATTAAACAATGTTTTTTTTGTCATCACTAAAAGCACTATTAACCGAGAGCGATTTCTTTTTGGCACGTTATCCTTATCCTCTGAGCATTTTTCTGCATTATTTTCAGATTCATGCTTTACCTTTTGCAAAAAGCGTATGTAATTTTAGATTGCTTGCTTCTAGTTAAAAGATCTTTATAAATTTCCTTATATGGTGCTAAGCACTTATGGAATAAGGGAAAAAAATCTAGCAACATCAGAAGCAGAAGCGTCGAGATCTAGCAAAATTGAAACAATTTTCGCGAAGGACCATGTGTATGGAGACGAGAAAAGAAAATTTACACACTGAAGTACTAATAGTTCACGAAAAAAGTACTAATAGTTCACGAAAATTATTAAAGTATGTAAAAATTTATTACATTTCACGTTGTACGAGGATTTTACTTATTTCTCGAACCGTGTCAGAGTGAATCCGTGCTATAGAAGTGCCGTGTTATACGGGGATTACCTGTATATTCAAATTGATTTTCTGATTGTAAGCCATACATAATAGTGCCCGGAAGACCAGAAATATTAGTAAATATTTATTAATGTTATTTCTCAAGTTTATCCTACTTTTTATGTAAAGGCTTTTATCAAATAATGTTAATTTGATTTGTTTTATTATTTATATCTGAACATCCATTTGAACTCAGTGTATTTTATTACTAGAAATTTTATACGCTTTCCAATAAAGTCAATGCTTCGCTAATTTATTAAACTTGGCTTATGTAATAAGTTTAATAAACTTTAAAGTTTTAAGTATCTTTATATTATATTACTTTAAAACCTAAAACCACGCGTTTAAATAATATCTGAAATTATTCTTTAATAAGTAAACAATTTTTTACTTAAAAAATTACTAATAATACACAATTAAAAGTTATTGTGCTCGTAAGTTTGTTCCTTCACGAAAAGAGTTGGCATTTCTGTGTGTAAACAAACAACTCGCACGGTTACACATTGTCAATATAATGAGTTCTGTCGATTTTCTGATTAACAATTAGTTTTCTTACGTAATAAACTAATAAATTCTATTTAAAATTACCTTTATTTGAAAATTACAGGTGTGAATTAGTTACAATAGATAAGCGCTTATGATGTTTGAGACACTGTAAATAAGTTACAAAACAAAAAAAGCCATTGGTTAAGACGAAACATCAATATATAAATACCTGTCCTTTTGATGGCCTGTTTAGTGACGTCACTGATTTTAATGAACATTAGGAGGCGATTGCAGGAATGATTCCAGGCACGGAGGAAAGATTACGATTCTGCCAATTATTAGGCTAATTATTCGAAGAAAATCTCAGAAAATTGGGATATTTTACATTAATGAACTAAAATTAATTGAATTATATTAATGGCGATTAGAAAACTGGTATTACAATAAAACACCGTAATTTCATACTCTGCAGTTTAAAACATTGTGTTCTCAAGACACATATATAGTTATTTATTCATTTTTATAAAGAAAAGTGGTTATAACCGCCCATTGAAAACTACTAAAACTTTCTGTGTGGCCCTGGTGGAAATAAGATTAAAACTCCTGTGTAGAACAATACTCTCAATCAAATGCCCATTTTTAAGAAAACTAGTTTAATGCAATAAATTTATTCCCACCATACGAAAACCGTTATAATAGAGTAGATCCAATAATCGGTTTGTTCACGAAAATAGATCATATCTCCTGGGAGTGATATATATAAAGGAAAAAACTTATAAATAACGTAGTTTATTAGAGGAAACACTTCTCTAAATGCCCGACTTGCTATATCGATCCACTCTTCATAATTATAATTGAAAATATACAGGAAACAACTCTTTTGTACCATTTTGAGTTCAGAATATTTCAGTCTTTCCAATTTCTTTTTGATTGTTGTATAATCAGTTTCAGATGCATCAAGAAAAAGAACATAAGCATTCACTCTCTCCCCATGAAATATTGTGATCCTGTATTCATCACTGTCGATTGGGTAATTCACAATTTTGTCCATAATTTTCCTTAAGGCAAAATCTTCGTAGATGATGACACATTTTTTTTGTTCGTCGGGGATGTTCATTTTGTGGTATACATTCTTTATTTTGTTTATCAAATCTATTAAGCCATGAAATACAAATAGAATTTTAAACTGTACCAAAGAATAATTAATAATATTGAAACCTGAAATGTTTGGAAACATTGATATTTGTATTTCTGCTGTTAATGCCAACTTATAATGATCAGGAAAAAGACGTGTGCCATCATTTCCTGGAATTAAAAATGTGATTGTTATTAACAATTAATTAATAATAACAAACTCACACAGTACAGCTACTTACGATACAATTTTTCAATAATGTCCGAATATTCATGACCTGGAATAAAAAGCAAGTGTAGTTTCTTCGAATTGATTAATTAATAATTTCAAACTTACATAGTACAGCTACTTACCATACAATTTTTCAATAATGTCCGAACGTTTATAACCTGGAATAAAAGGAAGTGTAGTTTCTCCGAATTCAATAAGATCATATGTAGACTCAATCGTAGGTTCAGGTTCATCTCCTAAATCTACAACGAACCAATTGTATTGAAAATGATCGTCGAACCCAACGTACGGACGTAGATTTTCCGATTCTTCGACTGCGGAGTATATTACACTAAGAGGAATTCTCTGTTTAAATAAATCAGAATATTTACAGCAAATGCAAAATTTTATTTAGATAATACAATTAATGAAAACTTATTTTACTGCAATAGAATAATTTAAAATGAATACATTTATACAAAGTTACAAGTTAATGTCTAGAAAAATTCAGCAGTTCGTTGAAGGTTTTGAAATAACTTTTCTACAAATAAATACACACTAAATCTGTTTAATTGATAGGATTTCAATNTAATTTAAAATGAATACATTTATACAAAGTTACAAGTTAATGTCTAGAAAAATTCAGCAGTTCGTTGTAGGTTTTGAAATAACTTTTCTACAAATAAATACACACTAAATCTGTTTAATTGATAGGATTTCAATGAAAGTTGTAAGTGTAAAGCTTCCCTGTTCAAAAGACAACGTTTAAAGTTAAGATACTAACGAATAGGAAATTGAAAAGAATAGGTTAATTACCGACGTTTCTATAAACGAAGGACATTTTCAAAATGAAAATTACAACAACATTAAACAACAAAAAAGGCTGTCGTAGAAGTCATTGAGATATGGACGCCAAAGAACAATTACCTGTTCTCGTACATTCAGTCATTCTATGACAATTGTACAATACAAACAATAGAAATCTTAAGCATAGATTACTGGAAAGTATTCGACAGTATCCTGCATTTACGGTTCTTACATACATTACACAAATACAAAATGTTCAAACAGTTATTACACATCTGAAAAAAACAATGCAAAAGTGGACAACGACACTACATCTCACATTTTTTATTATGTACGTTAAACAATTCCAGACCAAGTATTTTTCAGAGAGATTCTTTAAATTCTGGTTTTGTGTTCTTAAACTCATTGTGCAAAAAATTAAAAAACGCAAAATATAAATTTACAGCAAATTTATTTTAGAAACACCACGAAGCAATAATATGTAGGCCCTATATAGTACGTCATTTGCGTAGAATACTGGTATATAAAACCCATCCTCATCACAAGGACAATCTAAATAGCGTATTAGAACTTACACGCCGTTACTCTATTGACGAAATTGAAGTTTAATGTAGACAAATGCAAAAACACCTCACGTAGAGAAACGAACTCCGAGGAAAGACAGCACTGAATCCATCGATAACTGAGAAATCTACAAATGTTTAGATTCAAAAAGAAAACTCAGTTTCACGCACAAATCATGCAAACTAAGAATCAAAAAGCCATTTCGGTAATTAATAAAGAGGTTGCGGCGCAAGTTCAAACGTTACTTTTACACGGAAAGCAGAAGTACACGGTTTACGTTTTAACTCCAAAATACGATGAAGATGCCGTGGAAGAACAAACCTACCTTCAGACAAGCTATTATGAAGGCAAATACAGTATATGTAAATTCTATAGTCACTTCGCATCACTCGCAAAAAAATTGAATAGAGGTTGTGGCCGTCGCATTCAGCGGAAAACGTGAACGGCAGACCGTTGAGTGCCGCCATCTGGCAATTCTAGACGGTCGATTAATGGCGGTCGCTACGTCTAGCATGACTGGCGTCTAATTACAGAACGATTCCGTAGCCGTAGTTCTGGTTTTTACCACGAGATGCCGCTAGTGTCGTGAGGTTCATATACCTCGCGTTTTTTATGCAGCGCTCGAGAAGCGCTTTACAGCGAACACACTGAAACTGGTTTCTAATTGGCCAACACTGCTCGTGACGTCATTTCGCTATACTCTCGCTGTATAAAGAAACGTGGCCATAACGTATACGTCGTACTGTACGGTGTGCTTGGAATTTTTTGTCGATGTTTTAGCTTTAAAACCACACTTTATCATCGATAATTGAAGTATTCCCGCTGCGTTGCTAAGAAAGCGTTATGGAAAATATTGCGTTGGATATACTGTATTAGAAAATACTCGTTGTTATTGCGATAAGCACTTCTCCTCAAAAGGAAATCTTACTAACAAGAATGTAGGTTTAGAACATAAGCAAATGCTGGTGGAGGAAAAGTCTATATTCTGTCGTGAGACTTCATGTTCTGAAGGATTTTCTACTTTCCTTCGATTACGTGAACATTTGAGAAAGTACTATACCTGTACATGGATTTGCCTGTGAAATTGAGAAACTGGAATTCAAAACTATGAAGGGTAAGTAAATTTTCTTCTGAAATTTTAAAAACGCTGTATTTAATTAATATATCTTAAAATAATTGTTTTCATGAATATTAACAGCTCATACAGTTGTAAATAAAAATATTATGTACTGTATTTGATAGATTTCTACGAATAAGTTGAGAACCAACTAAAGTTAACTGTGTCGTACTGTCTAAAAATTCATGGAATTTATAAATTCTACTCGTGCGACTCTGGCACGTGGGATCGTGACTACGCTACAAAAAGAAGACATTCAATAACAGATTGTGTATATAAACATGCTGCAAATGTATAATTTTCAATAAATCCTTTTCATAAAGAAAACATCTTTCTTATAAATAGCAATTTTTTTAGCTAATGTTCAAATAAATCATTGCAGATCTGTTTAATCAGGCTACAAAAAGTTCACTAATATTTTACTGATGATGATAATTTGTTGATGGATTTAAAATACCAATTCAAAAGACTTTACTCAAATTACACAAGATACACTTAACTCTTGGTATTCGCTAGGGTTAGATTTTTTTTAAATCTCGTGAAAACCAAATAAGTATGCCTATGGAGAAAATTGAGTTTGGTTTTGTGGAACATTTCGAAGTTAAACGTTAATTGTAAAATATTGCAAATTTTCTAATATAAAACGTTTAAATTATTTCTAAAAAGCAATAAATAATTTTATTAAATAATACAAAAACAAAAAAAAAATTCGAGTAAGAGATTGAAAATTCAGCGGGAAAATCTTGAGATTAAAAGAATTTAAGAACGAAAGTCTACATATTCTGTAGAATAACTTTTATAATATACTGTATAATTTTAAATATTTTGATAAAAATAATTAACAATAATTATCTTATAATATAAACATTGAACATTAGACAAAAGACAAATTTGATGTTCAACAAACGAACAGTAGCAAATTTTGTTCGTAATAAATTAATTCTGACTGGTGTATTTACACCACAATCAGAATTACGCTTGTCGAGCTTCTTGACGTCACGAAGTAGCGACATCTCGTGGTAAAAAACAGAACTACGGCTCGGAATCGTTCTGTAATTAGACGCCAGTCTAACATGGCGAGTAGGTGATCGGCTTTAACTTCATTTTTCTGTGTTTGGGGTTAAAATTATGACTTATTTTATTAAAATTATGATTGTTTCTTTACAATATTATTCACAACTGCTTAAATAGACGATTTTAATCCAGAAATTAATTTAATTATTGAATTTTTTAGCGAATGATGTAGAATTTACATATATTTGCCTTCATAATAGCTTATCTTAAGGTAGGTTTTTTCTTCCACGGCATCTTCTACCATCAACAGTGTAATATGTTTGTAAATTTCCTAAAAATTAATTTTATGAATTTACATAAGCCACTACTTTCCTCGACAAAAGTATGAGGTAGTCCTATCGCCCGATGGTACGGTAGAAGACACCACGCTAATTGAAAATAATTATTTAGTGTTATTAAACTATTTTAAAGTATTTTTAGGATGTTTAAGTTATTTACCTTCGCTGGTAACTAACGATGTTAAACGTATCCGCCATTTTTTCAACAAATTTCCCGTGAGTCAATGCGCGATTTTCACTGAGTCACGTGATATTGTGAACATCCGCCGCAACGATTTTTTCTTGGAGTTAAAACGTAAACCGTGTACTTATACTTGCTGTGTAGAAGTAACGTTTGAACTTCGGCCGCAACCTCGCTAATAATTAAATAATTTCTGGATTAAAATCGTCTGTTTCTTTACAATATTATTCGCAAATGCTTAAATAATTATTATTTTAATAAAGTAGGTCATAATTTTAATCCCAAAAACAAAAAAAATGAAGTTTAAGCCGATCGTCTACTCGCCACTCTAGACGTAGCGACCGCCATTATCGACCGTCCAGAATTGCCAGATGACGGCGCTCGACGGTCTGCCGTTCACGTTTTGAGCTGAATACGACGGCTGCAACCTCTCTAATATTTTCTAAACTCAATTCCTTAACATAGAAATGATTTATGTTAATCGATTTTGGAATTTTGAGCGTTTCTAGCAATTATATAATCATAGCATTTAATCAACAAATAATGTTATAATAATTACCCTTGTGATTATTGTTACTCGGTGATACATTATATTTACGATGATATCTCTCCACAGGATACACACTCGGCTGCATAAATCTAATTCCTCATCTTTCAAGTATTGAAATATATGAATCATTATTTCTGGCAATTCTCCAATTAAAGTACAGCCACGTGCCGATATTGCACCAATTTCCATTGTTGTTTCAAGTGCGGTTTCTGCCATTTTGGAAATTCTCTGTAAAGAAAATAATTAATTTATTAACTTACAAGGACAGGGCCAAACGTTCAGGTTTCCGATTCGAACGAAACTTGATGAACATTTAGCTCTAAACGCAAACAGCTCCTTGTCCAAATAATAAGACCCGCTGCTCAAACGTTTCCGATAAACGTTTGTGAAAATTCAGTGTTCAGCCTATAAATCTTCTAAAGTTCTGCTTGTAACGGCGATAGCAGAGTAGATAAGATACTAGGCACTGGCGCTAAGCAATGCAAGCAAGTACACAAGTTAGTTTTTGTTTATTAATGTGTAACAAATTTATTCTATTATTTTACTGTATGATTAGCATTCTTATTACTATTATTAGTCAACGCGTTGAAAGCTTAGCACGAAACTTATTGAAAACTTGTTTACAATATGAAATTAATTGATTAAGTGATACTTCACTAAGCCAATAATATTCAAGAAAATGTATGCTTTGAAATAGAGAATGAAAATAATGTTGTGTTGAACGTCTTAGACACAAAGATTTGATAATTTTATCACTTTCAAAAGGTATATTAAGCTGTGTGACGTCGAAAAGATCACCAATACTATTCCAATACGCCCGTGTTTATAGAAAAAAATATATTTCATGTGTACACAAACAAAATTAAATTACGTACAAGTGATACAACAGATCAAAACTTGGAAAATTAACATACACACCTCACATTACAGAAAACAACTATCCCAACACAATTTTTGACAATTGGTTTCACAATCACGCTAAAAAACAATTTATAAAAAAGTAGATTATACACCGGTTGTTTTTGAAAAAAAATTTAAAACCATACATTATTATTCTTGCTGGCACACTGAACAAAAAAAATCAACTTTCATAAAAATCAGAGAATCCATTTATAAAAACACGGATGTAATGTTCTATAATAGTTTGGTTTATATCCTCACTTGTACAGTACTTGTCAACCAGATTGTTATTACGTGAATGAAACTGGAAGAGTGTTAAAAACCACTGTTCAATGAAGCACGTTATACCTCTCTTTTAGCCAGTTTTTGTTTTTATATTTTCTCATTTATTTGTCATTTTTTAAAATATATATGTTAGCAAGTTTTATTTTTTCATTTTATAGGTACACCCTTTGGCTATTATTTTATCAATATTTAGTCATTTTACTGTATTTATAATTTCAGTTTTACTGGTTTTACTTTACGCCTTTAACACTTCGTTTTATTTATTAATTTAATAGTACAATGGAAACCCTGTATGTACTGTACGAGTATATTACAACAAAAAAAAAAAAACATTAGAATCATGTTNTATATCAAAACTACGCAAAAAATTCCAGAAAGAATTAAGTTTATTTACAATACCTTCACATTTCCACGAAAGTACCGACGTACAGTACCTACTCCCAGTCAAATTGAAATTTGTTCTTCCATTTTCTTAGAAACTATTAGTCTATATTTATAAATTTTATCATCATCATCTTTTTACTGTATTTATAATTTCAGTTATACTTTACGCTTTTAACACTTAGTTTTATTTATTAATTTGATAGTACAAGGGAAACTCGGTATGTACGGGTATATTATAACAGGGAAAAAAAAACAACGTTACAATCGTCAGTATTAATTCCAGTACAAAATACATTATTATTAACTGTGCAACAAATGACTACTTTATAACTTAAATTAGTAATTAAATAAGGCGCCGGACTTCACATTCCATTAAGAAAACTTTCACTGTTCCAACCTCTTTCACTCAAATAATGAACATCTTTTAGCCAATATGTTTCTTAGTCGTTGATCGCAATCCCAAAAGAACAAAGTTTCACTTAAATACATATAACTAGAAGACAATCCAATATTACTTAGTAATCCTTTAACAATAATTGGCCATGGCTTGAATAAAGAATTGCCATCTATCTGTGAAAAGTCATGTATATATCAACTTTCGATAGTCATCATTCGGTAGGTCAATAAGTTTCCTCCAAAATCTAAACAACTTTATCGACAGTCCAATAGCGAGGGGAAGTCTTCCCATTTCCATTCTCACTGCAGGTCCTGAGACAGATTTATTAATATGGAACACCTGCTTAAAATAGAATAACTGTATTGGTTTAAATTTAAATTTACCTACTAAAAGACCGCCCCAAACTGGAAAAGCATAAAACGTACTTAGTCCAATCAAACAATCGAATAATCTAAAATATCTAATGAATACGCTTTAATTTTAATAAGTAACATAATGAGATTGGAGATTTTAATCTTGCAGCAAGTAAACCTTTATTTAAATGATAGGAGAATGTTCCATGTGAAGAAAAATAAGTACCCAGATATTTAAAATTTGACAATTTCCAATTTATGATTTTCTAAACTGAAATTATCTGCTTTTTTAAGTTTTATACCTGTACGAAAAATCATAAGCTTTGTCTTTTCCGAATTAACTGTCAATCGATTATCTTCACAATATCTCCAAGTAAGATTAAGTCTCTCTCTAAGCGAAAAAGCTGAATTAACCAAGAAAAGGATATCAGCATAAAGACAGCCAATTTCGACATGAGAACACAATGCTATCATAGAACTCTGGCCTGCAGAAGGTTAGGAAGATCGTTCAAAAACAAAAAAATAGGACTGTGAATTCTCCTTGAGGTAGCCCCTCTATTGGACTTAACATAATCAGTAGAAAACGAAAATTTGTATAAGATATCTAGTATTAGAAAACAGACTTAAGTTGACAAACAACGCAAAAAGACCAATGCTCCTAAGCTTATACCATAGCAAATCATGATCGACTGGACTGTATCGAAAGCTTTCTTGAGATCGATAAAAGCAGTATATAGTTTCCCTCGTTTTTTCGAAAGTAATATTTGTATAAGACCAGTCGAAATTTCTATTCAATGTCTATATTTTTAACAAATGCTTCTTGGAGAGGTGTAGCAATATTAAACTGATTCATCCAATTCCGAAGACGATTTGTCATAACAGTTGGAAAAAAACCTTTCTAAATACACTAATTAAAGCAATTGGTCTATATTGGTTGACGCCTGTGTACTTCCCATCTTATAAATCATTCTTAAAGTAGAGTTTCCAAGATAAAGGAAAAGAGAAACTAGACCGAAAGGAGTTAATTAGACCTTTTAAACGATTCTCGTATTATCTTTTTAAATTTACAATCTAAACTACACTAATTGAAATATGATTACTATATACTTTATCTAATACAGAAAAACTTGTTACAATAGATAACAAAGTCAACTTACCCAAAGCTAAATCAATTACAGAATATCCTATTTCATCTATATAAGTGTAATAACCTTTAGACACAGATGATTACCATTTAAAACTAGCCTATACATCCCGTATCTTCACAAAAATCCAACACCAATCTTCCACGATTGTTTATCAACGTATATTGTGATAGCCTCGACATCCAATCCTGATCAAGAACCTCATTACAATCATAAATCCATTCCTGTAGCTCCACCAATGCCAGCGTTAAAATCACCAATTAAAAAAATTAATTTATAACAGCAAACCAACCTATATATCTCTGTCCAAATAGTATTCCATACAGCAGATCTTATATACATAAAACAAAAAAATTACTAAATGCCTTATTGTTAAATCCACAATAATCCAATATAGTAGTCTTACCATCGCACCACGTCTCCATTAAGAAAATTATATCAAAACTACGCAAAAAATTCCAGAAAGAATTAAGTTTATTTACAATACCTTCACATTTCCACGAAAGTACCGACGTACGGTACCTACTCCCAGTCAAATTGAAATTTGTTCTTCCATTTTCTTAGAAACTATTAGTCTATATTTATAAATTTTATCATCATCAACTTTTACCAAATTTCTATTGTTTAAATAAGGAATTGAAGCTTCCATCCTCTTTTTCTCTAACAAAATTATTATTTTTCTTATATCTCTAGTTACAGGAGGAAGGTAATCCATTATAAATACCCTAGTCCCCTTTAATTTAAATTCTGTTATTATAACCTTACATTTATCACCATAATCCAAAAAACTACAATAAATCAACCTAATTCTATCATTATGTTGTTGACCCAATCTATACCATTGCTCTAAAGTAACGTGAACAAAACTTTATTTCGAATAAACTCCAATACCACATCTCTAACCTGCAAGTTAACATCTCCCAACTCACTTAATCCAGAAATTATTAAATTTTTGCGCCTTAAAAAACACTCAAATCGCTCCTGACTTAATGTAAATTTGGCCAATTTATACTCCAGATCCGTTCCATCAACCGATAAAACCTTTCCCGTGTCGTATGCAAATTCTTCTCTCTAAATCCTCAAGTCTACTTTCTAAATCAACAATAGTTTCGTCCAAATTTTCTGCGCGGGTAAAAATTCTGTCGATTTTAGCAATCATTCCTTCCAATTTAGTATTCTGCTTTAAATTTAGTTGAATTAATAACGATATCCCATCCTTAATATCAAGTTCCCCCTGAAGTAACTCCAAATTCCTCGTCTCCTCCAATTAACCACGGAGAAAAATCTTAGATCTACTATCCTACTGACTTACTGGTCAATAGGTCTTCCTTTTAGACAATGACGAATAATACCAATATTCTTACCTGTCGATCAATAATTCTTACCTGCCGATAAGCTTCGATCATAAACACTGCAAACCGACAAACACTAAATCATCCACTTCTGTACTATATTCACACCTCCTGGTGGTTAAACTTCAGAAAAGAAATTAAATTATTAATTATAATACGCCCAAAAGCGCCTACCATAAACGCTGCCCTTTAACACTTATTTATTCCAGTCGTCACCGTCAGTTATATTTTAACTTATTTTTTGTATTTTTTATGAGTTGTACGCATATGTTACATATAAATAACTATTAAATGAGTTCTGTAATCTCTAATATACCGTACGTTTGTATATTCAACGGTCAGTGGCGGCCTTAGGGGGTGGCGAGCAGGGCAATCGCCCGGGGCCTCGCTCTTGGAGGGGCCTCGCGCAACAACCAAGTAGAAAAAAGTTGATATTTAAAACTTTTTATTTTATCCTTGGCTATTAGTTATAACAATAAAATAAATTTAATTTATAGTACAGTATATATTAATATTAATAAGTGCCTACTATTTCAATTCACATACTTTGCACAAAGGACAAGGGCCTCGCAAAGATCTGCCGCCCAGAGCCTCGCAATGGATAAGGCCGCCGCTGC